GGACCTGGATCGTTTCCTGAGCTCTTTGTTATGTCCCACTTGTCCATTTATTTGCCTGTCCACCTGTCTGGTATTATTACAACAGCCTGGCTTAAGCCTCATCTGCAAGGGCAGGTATCTCTTCTTTGCATTTCTTCAAAATCGTCTGGGCCAAAGCCCTTTGACCTAGGAATTCCACCTTTTAGAATTTATCCTGCAGATATAATTGAATGAAGCAAAACCATAGACATGCAAGTTTATTCACTGCATCATTGTTTGTAATAGCCCAAATCTGGAAACAAATCAACCCTTGCAAAAATAGAGGAACAGATGAATGCCGGTATGTTCAAACAGTGGAATACTATGCTGTTGTTGCAAAAGAAAAAAATGCCTCCTTGCAAGGGTACTTGACACAGAGTTGCACCAAGTGGACAGCAGCAGTCTGTCTTCACCTTCACCATTTTTCCTTGACCAAAAATGCACTAAATTGTCTCCAAGTTTGAAGCATTCAGAAAACCACGGCAAGATAGTGCCACCAGCAATGGGCACTGATTTCCGTCAGGTAATGATGCTGTATTAGCCAGTGGAGCTGCTGTGTGTGTTGCTGTGTGTACACACACACCAACACAAGTTGGAGTAGAATGGAACCTGCCCCCTGTTGTCAGAGTCACCCCAAAGGACTGGAGAGATCAATCATCACCCCAGCTGGTATAATAATGAATTGTTTCAAAATCAACTCATAATTGACATCAAGTAAAAACATGGCACCCATTAAAATATGACATTATTGAGGAAATAAAGTATATTTGAAGCTTCCAAAAAGGAAAAGATATAAGTTCTTTATCTGCTGATATGAAAGAACTCCAAGATATACTATTAAGTGAAAAGTAAGGTGTAAATAGTGTATATAAGGGCCTCCCCGGTGGCGCAGCGGTTGAGCGCTGGGTTGCGAAGCTGCCCGCGGCCTCTGCGGCGCCGGTTCGATCCCCGGCTGCTCCCCGGCCACCGGAGGAGGGTCCCACATGGTGCGCAGATCTCTCCTGCCACCCGCTGCTCCCCTCAGCAGTGTACTTCGGTCCTTCTGCCTGCTCTGCTCCCCGCTCTGGCTCTGGTGAATTCTCTCACCCTCCCGCGCTTCTGACTGTACCCAGTGCATGTATAAACAAAACAAACAAACCAGCAAACAAATAAATAAAGCATGCCTCTATAAAAAAAAAATAAATAAATAAATAAATAAATAAATAAATAAATAAATAGTGTATATAATATGCTGCCTTCATATAAAAGGGACAAGGATCTATATTCAAATTCACTTGTATACATATGAGTTCTGAAGGGATAGAAACATCAGAAACTAAGACTAGTGGTTTCTTTGGGGGTCAGGAGACTTGGGCAGATGGAAGGGAGGCATTTCACTGTCTACCTTTTGGCATGTCTGGTTTTGAGTTACATATATGCATAACCTATTCAAACAGTAATCGAAGACAAGGGAATTTTGGCTTAGATTTTTGTGAATTCATGCTTCCATGCAGAATTTAGAATAAATTTGTTGAATTACTGAGAAAATTCCAACTGAATTGTTGACTGGCCTAAAAACCCTTTACTCTTTCCTAATCTGTTCCTTCCACAAGGGGTCAATGAAATCTGTGGATCTGAGCTAGGAGAAGGCACTAGCCAGGGGTAGCTGGGATGGGAAACAGTTTAGAATTCAGGAGAAAGTCTCCAAGTTGTCTTTCTTTTAAACACTGGCCATTTAGAACCATCTATTTCACTCCAACCTCTTTGCCTAACTTTCCCAAGGAACCCCATCTCTGGGGAAGAGGGAAAAAGCATTACTGAATAGAAATCTTTAAAACACCTTTGTGAGGAATGGCTCCCTAGGTCTCATCGCCCACCTGGTGGTGGATTATCTTAACTGCAGGCTGAGAGCTTGAGAAAACTTGCCTTCTTGGAGCAGGTCACGCACCTTTGTTTGCATTGCTTATTTTTCTAAAGATCAGTCCAGCTTCTTGTCTGGAAGAACCATAGATTCCAAATTAGTAGCATCAAAATAATGAAATTTCCCAGTAATGAGCCTGAGACTAAAATCATGGAAAACCCGCTAATTATAGACCTAGCCTCCAGACCCCCCAAGAGAGGGTGCAGGACCAGGGGTGGCTATAGAGGCCCCCTGTGCCTGCTGTCCTTTCTTCCCTGGGCCTGGAGGCCTCCTGGCTCTGAGCTCCTGCCCCCTCACCCAGGTCAAGCAAGGTCCTGCCCCCAGGGAGGCTAAATTCCTGGAAACAGCAAAATCAGGCCCACATGAAGGTGGGGGCATGTTTTCTTCCCAGTTCTGGGAAGCAGTGGGGGAAGGGTGCTGGGAGAAGGAAGAGGGTAGAAAAGGGCAGAAAATGCCCAATATACCCAAGCCCATCAATTTCCTTTTTACATCTCTTTATCAGTGTTTGTGACTGAGCTTCTTATCAACAGGAAACGCCTGCCTAACGGGATGAGGTAGGTCCAGGGGGACTGCACGCCAGGGACCAGGAATTCTGGGTAGTGCATTGCTGCTGTCCAGCCTCGCTGACAGCCTCGTGATTTCCAGCACCCACTAGGCTTCCCAGTGTCTTTGCTGAATCATCTGGCAAACGCTTGGATCTATGGAAGAAGACAGCATACCAGACAGACCCCGAGGCCAGAGGGGTCTGCAGGAGGGAGCACTGATCACCAAACAGCTCAAGCTATGGAATGAGAATTGTCCTTGCCTCTGAGTCTCCTACTTTCTAGCCAAGTAACCTGTCAAGGTCACAGGTGACTTAGTGACAGTCGCCGCAAGTAGTCCTTCCAGTCTGTTTCCCTCTGAGCCCTCTGAGGATGGCGCCTGTGCCAGGCATTAAGGACAGGGACGGTCAGGTGCCTGGTATAGATTTCTAGGTGGAGAGCAAGGGGCCTGATTGACTGACTACTACGTGCCAGTTGCTTTAAAAATATTGGTCATCAGACTAAGATACTGATCTCCCAGATGGGCTCCCAGGAGGACAGGCTGAAAATCAGATTTCACTGGAGACTAAGATCAAATCTTCCTGCTGAACATAAATGCCCAAGAGGGATATCTGGGCCAAGCAAGGTTTTATCAGTGGCTGAGAGGAACAGGTTTATCTAGACATCTTTCTTTAAATTGGCACAAGACTGACCAGAGAGATGGGAACTGGCTGTTCTGGTAGGAGAGGCTGGAGGAGCTTTGGGAGCAGGAGATGGCCACTTTGCTTCCTGCCTTCAGTTGCCCTTGAGCTGCCACACTCTGCTCTTGGTGGTGGCAGTATTAAAGGAAATTCCAGTGTGCCTCTAGCCCTGCCCCCGTGTCTCCCTGGACAACGCCCTCCCCTCACTTGATCCTGCAATTGGTGATCTAGGTCAGTAAGAGTGGGTGGGTGAGAAAGAACAGAGACTCATCCAGACGTGACACCCCGCAGGGCAGCAGTGACAACACTTTAACCTGAAAACTGCCTGAAAATAGACTGTGTGTCTATGACATTATGCAAATCATATGCAAAGTCAAGAAGTCCTCTGTCTCTATTTCTAGCAAACTGAATGTGGCCCTGGTTCCAAGAGTCGCCCACCCAGCGTGACAATTGCACAGTTAGCATCAGTCCTTGTCCCAGGAGGCTGGACTCAGGACAAGCACCCCTCCACGACACCCCCAGGACTGAGTCTTTAAGGCATGAGGACTTGGCCAGCTCTCAGTCTGTTCATCTAAATGCCAAGTGAGGACTCAGAAGAAGCAGTGCACCCTCCATGCAGGCCGGAGAGGTGTTGGGTGGGTAGGGAGAGCTGTCCTGGGGGCCTGAGGACCATAAGGCCTCGGCAGGGGGAGGAATGGCCCTCAGCATCCAAGGTCATGTTCCTGGGATCACCCTTACCACCTTGGGCAAGCCGAGGATCCTTCAGGCCTTCCTCCCCCTCCTGCGTAGGTAAGGAGGAGGGAGACTGGGGTTCCCTAGAAAAGCAGGGCAAAACTGCAAAGTCAGTGGGTTTTCTTCTTCCAAAGCCAGGCTCCCCTGGGGTGCTGTGTAGAGATGCAGCTTGGACTCAGTGACCTCAGTGACCTCCAAGGACTGTTCTATTCCCGGAGGACAATGAGCCAATTTCCCTAACCCAGGCCCCCAGCCGGGCTTCTTGTAACTCCTGTGCAATTTTCCTTCTGTCCTGCTCCCACTCTCTAGCCATAGGGCCAGAAGCAAGGACAGGGTGGGGCAGCTGGGAGTTACAGGCTGCGGGCTCCGGCATGCTAGGAGCGTTCTTGTCTCCCTCAACCCTATCTAGGAGGCCCTCTGGGGGGGGGGGGCGGTTCTCAGCTGCGGGTGGTGGTGGTGGGGATTTGGGGGAGCTTCAGAGACACAGGCACCAGGACACTATAGGAGGCTCCAGGGTAAAGGCAACTTAGGGGGCTGCAGGAGCAGAAGAGGTCCTGCGGGGTGTGGGGGCGCCCTTTCTGAGGCTCCCCAGCGAGCCTCTAATAAAAGGCACAGATTTTCTTGGCTGAGCCTTCATATGGACAAGCCCTTCTGCTATCTCAGCACCTGCTTCCTCCATGGCACGTCCTGCCCCACAATTTCCGGGGGGATGGAGTGGAGAAGGGCCCCAGACACCGAGGTGGGTCTCCAAGTGGAGGAGGATGTCCTTCCCACTCTGGGCAGCAGCACTGACTCCGGGCAAGGTGGGGATCCTATTTGGGAGCCACTGAGAACAGGGGTTGCAAGCGGGCAGATCCAAGCTGCCTCTGCGTGAGGACACAGAAAGCGCCATTCCAGCTGGGGTTTTCGGGGGACCGTCCCCGCAATACCCAAGGACAGGCGAGCACACGCACATGACCCCCGGAGGCGGGGGAGGCGAGCCCCACCCTCCAGGAAAGGCCCGAGGGTGCCCGCGCAGGGGCGGGGCCGGAGAGGCCGCCGTGCAGACCCGCAGCCAGCAGAGGGCGCTGTAGCCGGCGCCTGGATCGGGCGCCCAGCCCAGGGCGATGGGGGCGCGAGGCTGCGGGAGCCGTAAATGATCTATTAAGGGAGACCCCGGGGCAGGGGTAGCTGGGGACCCTTTCCTCCCCAGTCCCCTCAGGTTTCCTCTGTTATGGGCCACTGCGGTGGCGCTGCCTAGGAAGACTCAGCAAGAGCTCTGGGTGCCATGGTTTATTGAGGACCTACTATGTGCTAGGCACATGCTAAATGCTCCCACAAACAGCATCTGCAGTAAGAGAAGTGTGATTTCCACCCGACATATCCTCCTGCATCAGGGTTTTATGCAGGCTGCTCTCCCCACTGCCTCCTCCCCATCTCGGCCTTTGGCTGCCCTGGGGCTGCCTGGCTCCTTCACTCAGGCCTCCCCCAGTTACTCTGCCTCCTGCCCCAGTCCTGCTCATAGGGGTTTTCCAGCCCCTGGGGAGTTGCTGCCTTCAATACGTGACTGTGGCCTCTCAGGAGGAGATCTCACTCTGCAGTCCACTGGAGAAAATCCTTCAGGGGCAGATTAATTCCTGGGCTATGCGGGTTCGAGCAACCGAAGACATGAGACTGCCAGGAAGCAGAGTGGCCGTGGTGACTCGGGGAGCCAGCAGGTCCGAGCAGCTCTCTGTTGTCACCCAGTTTCACTTCCTGGTTCTCCTGTTGCACAACCTGGGAGCAGGCCTGGGAAAGTGCCACAAGCCGGTGCAAGAAACATTCAAGAAGCCCGCCTGCTCGCCTGCCTGCTGGGAAGGTTGTGCTGGGTCATTTATGGCAGAAGGGGAGGAGGCTGTGCTTTCTTCACCTCCCGTGGAGGTTCCTACCCCAAGGGCTGAGGGCTATGAGGCCAATTCTTCCCAAGCTTGGCTCTGTCCTTGTCCCTGGCCTGAGCCCCAGCCCACACTTCTAACTCACCTCCTCCAATCCATCTGGCTGCCCAGGGTCCAGGGAAATGTCCTCAGTGCATGGACACACACCCTCAATGTTCCCAAATGCCAAACTTTGTGTATTCTTCAAGAGGCACCAGGTTCTCTGGGGCCTGGTCAAGAGTATGGGCCTGGACCAGAGGCCAGTGGGGAGCAAGAGGCCAAGTGCTATAGGCTTTTGGCTGAAGGCAAATATCTTCTGAGCCTGGAGGCCCTGCAGGAAGCTGATCCTCAGTCCCTCTAAGTCCAGGGCCAAGGAGGCTAAGCCATTGAGGCGGTTGCTTTGTTAGCCAGAAGGCCCAGGACTGTCTGAAGCAAAGGATGACCACTGACATGGGTCAAGGCAAGAGTTGGCGCTTGTAGAACCATACTAGGAAGTGTTTCAGACCTGGCTTCAGATAAAGTTATTTTGAAATCCCCATCTTGAGGCAAATTGCCAGGGGCTAGGCCAGAGAGTAGAAGAGACTGGTTAGCTGAGCTCTGTCACCGGCTGAAACTTCGAGGAAAATTAGAGCTGAAGAATCTCAAAGGATGTCAGGACCAAATCTTTCAATAGGCAGATGAAGAAAAATGGTCCAGGAACAGTGAAAGCCTCATTCCTATCGCACTGAGCAAGGCTCAGGACCAAAACCTGGGCTTCCTGCCTCCCGACTGAGCCTTGCCTAGCCATGCTTGGTCGTAGAACTTCCAAAGGCCTGGCCTTTCCTACCTGCTACCTCTCCACTGGCCTGTGACCCTGCCATACCTTCAGCAGGAACCACTCGGTTAATGCCCTAATAAGTCAGCTAGGAAGTAGGTGGGGCACAGCTGGCCAGGAAACTGGCATTCAGCTAGCTGGGACCTCTTCTGGAAGGCAGAGGCCCCAGGAGTCATGGGGCCAAGATACAAACCCACAGAGAGAAACTGATGGGTGTCTGCAGCTTGTGCCAGAGGCTCAGGCCTGGCAGGACAGGGTGTCTGCTGAAGGCCAGACGAGGCCCTGTGCCACCCTGGCAGCTCCGGTGGGGCCGTGGGGTTGGCTGAGGGCAGGGGGTAAAGTGGAGGCCTGGGCCTGGGCCTGGGATTCCCTGGCTGGTCTTCCAGGGCTGTGGGGCCTTTTCTGCATCATGTGGTGGTGAGGGTGCTTTGGGGTAGGGGTGCACCCAGGGTGTTGGGGCGGGGAGGGAGTCAGGCGTCAGGGAGCCTGCTGCTTTGAGCAGACCAGACAGCCAGGGGATCAGGTTTCAGCCCAGCTGTATTTTTGGCTAGATGGGCTGGGGGCCCAGCTGGGCAGGCATAGCCACCCCTAGAGGGGTACCCCTCCCCAGTACACACACTCACACCACCTCTGCCCTGATAGGCCACCACCCACCACGCTCCAGCCTCCACCCCCTTGCAGGCAGCTGCGGCAGGCCCGTGGCTAGTGAATCACTTTCCGCTTCTCCAGGCTGTTGCTGAGCTTCTGGAGTGTCTTCTTGATCCGCAGCGCGGTGAGGCGTGCTGAGGGGTTGGGGTACCAACACTCCCGCATCATCTGCGCCAGGCCGGAGAGGACCTGAGGGGCGGGATGGAGAGGAAGCGGAGTGGGGCAGGAGAAATGGAAAGGAGGCAGCGAGGAGGAAGGCCCAGCAATGGGGAGACACGGCAGGGAAGGGCAAGAAGAGGGACGTGAGAGGTGGAAAAGGAACAGAGGAAAGACAGAGCGGGAAGAGGGAAGAGAAGGAGTGGAGGAAACGGGGCGAGAACCAGAAGAAAAAGATAACACAGGAGCGGAGGAGGGTGTTGTGAGAAGGGGTGGAGGCAGGAGGCAGGACAGAGAGGTGCAGCTCAGACCTCCAGGAGCACTCAGGGGAGGACTCTGCAGACACTCCCCGCCCCAGCTCCGCCAAGATCCAAGAAAGGGGCACTCTGTGAGCCTTGGGGCTCTCGCCTCCCCATCTGAAGCTGGACCCCAGGGCAGAGGGCGGAGTCTCCTGGTCCTCCAGCAACTTTGACTGGCCCCAGGGGACCGGTGGGAGAATGGGCACGGGGCACTGCCCCAATATCGCAAGTGTCCAGGGCAAACCCACCGCAGGAAGCTCAGTGGTCCTCAGATGAGGCAGCCCCACCTCCACCTCACACCTCGAGGGAGTGTACGTGTGTGCACACAGGAGTGGGTATGTGTGACTTTCGTAGATATGTATGTTGTGCAGAAATGTCCATGCATCTATGTGTGTCCATATGAATATTTATTTCTCCTTTCAGTAAATATTTATGGCACCTATTGTGTGCCAGGCACTATGAGAGGTAGCAGAGGTACGAAGGTAGGCAGAGGGGCCATGTCTGTACTTGCGTATGCCTCTGTGAGCATGTTTATGTCTAAGCATGTGCATGTCTGTGTGAGTTTATATACACATGTGAGTCATATGTAAGTATGTGGAGTGTTTTGAGAAAAAACAAAGATAAATGAGCAGCAGCAACAACAAAAAATCCATGGCAAGAAACAGCAGAGAGCCTCTGACTTTTCAGACAAAGCAAAAGGTGCTGAAAATCCTAGAATAACCATGGGGACCCTGGGGGTCCACACCAGGACTGTGAGGGGGGTGCCCAGGGAGGTACCCTGGAATTGATCCCTCAGAGTCTATCCAAGGAGTATCAGGGACCTCAGAGGCAAATTCCTGGACCCAGAAGCCCCAGCCATGAGCCACCGCCCTGTGTCACCCCAGCCGGGGAGCTTACCGGGTCTGCAGCCAGACGGTTGGGGATGGTGGGGGTCTGCTGGTCAACACAAACCACCTTCTTCATGTCCTCAAAGCTGGGGTCATTGGGCACCACATCATAGAAGGGTGGCCTGTAATCTTCCACAATGCCTGGGATGGATGGAGGGGGCAGGAGGGACAATAAGTTGGGGTCCCCAGAAGGCCCAAGAGCACCCGGGGAAGACCTCTGTCCACTCTCTGTCCCAGGGGCCAGAAGCCACATGCCTGAAAGGGATGCTGTCATGTAATAGATAAATTTTTAATAATAATTACTACCATTTATTTAGAAGTTACTATGCACCAGGCAGTGTGCTAAAAATACTTCACATGCATTATCCTGTAATTCCTAGGAGGCAGGTACTGTTACCACCCTCATTTTACAGCTAAAAAAACTGATACTCAGAGAAGCTGAGCCCCAGCCGGTGCAGCTGGAAGAGGCAGTCAGACTTAATTCACCTCACTGGATTGCTAGGCCAGATCTTGTTCCAGCCTGTCCACAGCTGCCTCCTTCTCAAAGTCCAGTCCTGCTCCCAGGCTCCAGCTAGCACAGATGCCCAATGATACCCAAAGCTTAGTGAGCACCTACTACGTACCAGACATTGAATCCTCACAACAATTCTATGAGTTAGACAATACTATTCATTTCACTCTATGGGCAACGCAATTAAGGCCAGCACGGTTAAGAAAGCTGTCCAAAATCACGTAGGCAGTAAGCGACAGAGCTAGGATTTGAGCCCAGAGAGTCTAACCGAAGCCCACACTTTTTTTTTTTAAGATTTATTTTGTTTGTTTGTTTGTTTGTTTATTTATTTATACAAGCACTGGGTACAGTCAGTAGCGCGGGAGGGTGAGAGAATTCACCAGAGCCAGAGCGGGGAGCAGAGCAGGCAGAAGGACCGAAGTACACTGCTGAGGGGAGCAGCGGGCGGCAGGAGAGGTCTGTGCGCCATGTGGGACCCTCCTCCGGTGGCCGGGGAGCAGCTGGGGATCGAACCGGCGCCGCAGAGGCTGCGGGCAGCTTCACAACCCAGCGCTCAACGGTGGCGCCACTGGGGAGGCCCGAAGCCCATACTTTTGACGTCCCAGCTACACTCAGGGGAGGGCAGCTGGTTGATTGTTGGGTGAGGGCATGAAACAAGGAAAAGGGGGAGAAAACAACTCTCCTAAGAGAAAGGGATTGTTTTACCCAGGTTGTAATACCACCCACCCACTCTCAGGGTGTGTGGGGGGGGCACAGGCCTCTGCAGAACCCCTTCAGCCAGCAGCCCCTCCCCACATTGTCCCAAGTGCACAGGCCTTAGCAGGAGCTTCTGAAATTGATGCCTGTGGAGCTGCAGACAGCTTGGGCAGAAGAGGCCAGACCCAGAAAAAGTGCCCCTTGCCCCCTCCTGCTTCTTGGGGGGTCATGGCCACACAGCCAGAACCTCAGAAGAGCCTGCCCCAGCTGCTTTCCTCGTGGCGGGCTTCCAGGTCAGCCCCTGTGCCGTTAGCGCCCTAATCAGTGCTGCACAAGAGGCCTGAGCGTGTCTCATGGGCCTTTAATCAGTGCCGGGGCTGACACCAGATTACAGTGTTTATAATGCGCTGTGAATCTGTGTGGGGCTCACACAGCTTCCCTCCCCGCAGGAGCCTGCAGTCAGCCTCCCCTCAGCCGGGCCAGGCCAGCCTTCCCTTCCGCCTGCAGCCTGGTCCGAGGTGGGGCCCTATCTTAAGGAGCAGCAATCCAGTCACACATTGCAGTTGTCCCCAACCTGTCAGGACTCCCTCAGGCCTTCCCCCTGTGGACAGCCTCCACCGAGAGTGATGGGCCTCCCTGCCCAGTGCAGACCACCACCCCAGCACTGGGAGGCACCGGCCCCAAGGCTGCCCCTATGGAGCCAGCAAGAATGTGGCCCCTCTGCCTGCACCCAGCCCCTCCAAGTCTGAGTCCCCTGTGGCACACACAGTCACAATGAGGCGGTAGTAAGCAGAGTACAAGCACCCCCGTATCCTGCTTCCTTGTGGACGAGGAAACCAAGGACCCAAGAGGTTTAAGTAGCACAGTGATAAGAAACTGCCTGGTTTCAGACCCTGATGCTGCCTCTATCCAGCTATAATTCTGTGCCGCGGTCCCCTCAGAGCACCAGGCCAAAGGCCCAGATGTAAAAGGGGAGACAGGCACTATGATTGCAACAATAACTGCTCCTAATCTTTACGGAGCTCCAGAACAGTTGCCCGATGCTGTCTGGATCATCTCAACAACCAGACATTATTTTTATTCTCATTTTACAAATGAGGAGACTGAGGCACAGAGAGGCGAACAACCTTGCCCGTGGTCAATGGCAAAACCTGGAAATTCAACCTAGACGGTCTGATTCCCAGCCCCTGCTCTTCGCCACTAAGCGACACCACGTCCCTGCGTCACAGGCTGACTGAATAATACATGTATGTCGCATGGCCACTGGCACATATTTAAGCTCAATAAATGTTGCTTCTATTAACATTTCTGTTATTATCACTTTCCCAAGATTTCACAGCTAGAATCACAGACTCAGATGAACCTTAAAGGTCAGGCAGCTGAACCAACTGGTGAGTGGCAATGAAGAGGATCCAGAAGGTCTGGCCACAAGCCCCTCCGCCCGGGCAGGACGCCCCGTCTCCTGCGTGTCTTCTGTCTGGCTGCCCTATCCCTGCTTTCCCAGCCCGTGCCGCGTGGTCCTTACCATTGACGATGGTCCGGCGGGTGATCTCCCACAGCACCAGGCCGAAGGCCCAGATGTCGGTCCACTTGTAAGACTCAAAGCAGTCGGTGCGGATCTGCTCATCCAGCACCTCCGGCGCCATGTACCGCTTGGTGCCCACGCGAGGGTTGTTGCCGATGTCCAGGTAATCACTACCCTGGGAGTGCATCACAGCCAGGCCTGCGGGCACCAGGCCTGTCACTCCCGCCGCTCATCAGAGCCCGCAGCCAGGGTGGCCCCAGGGTCTGGGGTTCCGGGGGCCAGCAGGGTTGGAGGGAGGAGGTGGAACAGAGGTGCAGACAGCTGCCTAAGCTGCTGGGGCAGACAGTCACCTAGATAACGACTGTCCCAGTCATACCATGCTTGGTCAGCGCTCTCTCGGTGCCCAGGAGCCCAGGGAGAGGCCAGCAGGCATGTAGCAGGCACTGTTAGCCCATTTCATAGGGCACCACCCCGAGGCCTGGGAGGGGAGCCATGCAGTCAGTGAAACCAGGACTAGAACCCGCTGTGGGGCCCTGACTCCCAACTCCTGGAACCGGAGCAGCATGGTGGAAGGAGTCTGGGCTTGAAAACACTGCTAAGACAAATTGTGGCCCTCTGGTAGGGTGAAAGGAGACAAGGAACATCTGCCTACGCTAAAGCACAGCTCAGATTGTCACCGCCCCCACCCCCACAGAGAGCCAGGGGGAGGCAGGCGGGCCAAGCCTGCTCCACGAAGGGCCCCAGCCCAGCCCCGCCTCCCTGCCCGGGGCTAGCTCCCGCCCCTCCAGGCGCTCACCCAGGTCGGCGATGCAACACTGCAAGTTGCTCTTGACCAGCACATTTCGGCTCTTGAGGTCTCGGTGAGCGATGGCCGGTTTGCCCTGCGTGCCAAAGATCTCCACGTGCAGGTGCGCCAGGCCGCAGGCAGTGGACACGGCGAGCCTCAGGGCCAGCTGGGGCTCCAGCGTCTGCCTCTGCAGAAAGTCGTAGAGCGAGCCGTGCTCATGGTAGTGCGTGATGAGCCACAGCTGCGTGCTGGAGTTGCGGGAGGTCATGTCAGAGGCGATGAAGCCTGCAGGCAGAGGGTCCGTGTCTCCGCCAAGGAGCTGGGGAGGAGGGCGGCCAGCCCCGCGGGGGTCAGGGCTGGGCCTAACGCGCAGAGGATGGACTCGATCAAGGGCTCAGGGTGGAGGCTGGTCTGGCTCAGGCCAGAAAGGAAGCCAAGTGGGAGGCTGAGGGTCCTGAGGCTTGGGACTGCAGCCCTGAGCACAGGGAATGAGCCCCACAGGCCTGGCACAGAGCACCCTCCCCACCACACACACCCCCACTTGCCTAGGATATTGTCGTGTCTGAGCAACACCGTGTTGTAGATCTCCGTCTCCCGGAACCAGGACTGTTCATCCCTCGAAGAGAAGATCTTCACAGCCACACTCTCGCCATGCCACAGGCCCCTCCACACCTCCCCATAGCGGCCTTTTCCTGATCCAGACCAGATGGGGGAAGAGCGTCACGCCAAGTCTGAGCACAGAAATGCCCAGAAGAGCCCCCATCTTGACGTTGCACTGACCCCACCTGCAGAACCTCTGATGCTCATGTTTAACTCAATTCAGACCAAGCCCCAGCTGGCAGGCCACCCCACCCTGCCACCTGTCCCACCCCAGCTTCTGCAGAAGGACCTAGCCTGGCCCATTTCTAATACACGCCCTGCCCAGCAGAATTGCTTCCCTTGCTGACCCAGACTCGTCCCCACCTGTGACCCCAGAGCCCAAGAGCTCCCTCACCCCTGCAAGCCCATGGGAGCCCACGGTCCCCATCCCTGGGGTTCACTCACTGCTCACCCACACATTCCACCAGGGCGACCTGTCGTGCCACTGTCCTCTGCACCAGGAAGGGGAGCCCCGAGCCACTGCCCGTGGTGCAGTCGCTGTCCAGGAGGTCCTGGCGGTTCCAAAAGGCACTGAGAGGCTGTCCCCACCCATCCCAGCCCCCTCTCCCTCCTCGACCTGGGCGCTGCTGCTGTGCCCCACGCACATGCTCCTCAGTCGCCCAGCCCCACCCACTCCAAACTGAGTGTCTCTGATTGTGCCTTTCTTGACTACCTGTCTCTCTGCACCCCCTCTGGCTCTGTGCTTCCTGTCTATCCCCCAACCTGTGTCCCAGGTTCCCCCAGGCCCATACCCCCAACATGCTGTCTCCCTGCTCAGATGCCTTCAGGATGATGCTGGACTCGTCCAGTTTACTGTGCAGGCCTGGCTGCTTCTCCTGCCTCCGCCGGACATGCCACAGGCCCAGGGCACCCAGAGCCACCAGGGCGAGCAGGGCCAGCACCGGGCCCAGGATCAGAGGCAACTGGCCATCTACATTCCAGTGCTCTGGAGTTTGGGTGGCTGTGGGAGGTGGGGACACTGAAACTCAGCTTCCACCAGGCCACATTTCCACCCTCCACCCCCCTCGCACACCCCGCACCCAAACCCCAAGGTTCTGCCTCTCCCGCCCCCAGATTAGAGTAGCAGAGGAAAGCAGGGCGGGGCGGGCAGGATCTGGGAGGACGGGGAGGGGTGAGGAGGCACCTGGACATACCCTCTAGGACCAGGGACACATTGTGGTTGCAGAGGGGGCTGTAGCAGCAGTAGTGGTTGACAAACTCCGTGGGGCGCCCCCTGCAGAGCTCCTGGTGCAGGTTCCCGCAGCCCCGGTGTTCCTGGGGGCGCCTGCCTTCTTCCCGAACCAGCACTACTGTGCACCAGGCCCCCTGGCAGGTAGGCCCCCTGCAGTGGGGGCTTTCACACCTGCAGGTCACCAGTGGCCCCCGAGAGGGCTTCACAGGGTCACCTGAGAGACATACTAGATGTTTGGCCTCTCCAGATCCAGCTCCCTGTCTGAGCGCAGCTCCCATGTCTGCCCCACCATCTCCTCCCTTCTGACCTACAAACCTCTGAGGCCTTGTCCTTTAGTTCCAGCCTCAGGTTATCCTGCCCTGCAGTCTCCCCTGCCACCAGAGGCAGCTGAGACCGTGAGAACCAGGCTTCCGTCTCCGCCCTGATCCTAGGACCTCCCCTCCCAGCTCTAGACCTGGCCCTGGCCCGATTCCCAACCCTGAGGGCTCTCCTAGGCCCTCCCTGCCAACGTCTTCACTCTCCGCACCGCCAGGTAGAGGTTCCACCCCGGGATCTGACAGCACCAGCTGAGGTTTGAATCAAGAGGACAGCAGAAGACACTTGGGGTGGTCAGAAGTTTAGTCTAACCAAGCCTGTCTCCCATCTCTCAGCCAAGCTCCTAAGTCCCTCTCCCTAGCAATTCAACCCCAACCCCGGCCAGAGCCGAGCCCACACAGCCCTTTCTCCAGCGAGCTCCTGCTCCATCCCCGCTTCACCGGTACTCACCCTTGGTCAGGCCTAAGGCCATCAGCAGCATCAGAAGGCCTCTTCTGGGGGGCTCTACTGTCATGGTTCTGGAGAGAGGAGCAGGAGAGGATGCGGTAAGGTCTGTGAAATGTGATTCCCTTGGTGTTTTGAGTCACTGACCATGGGTCCCTCCCACCCAGAGGAAATCACTGGGAGCATTTTAAGGGGGGGCAGGGAAGGTTCTGGGGCGGGGCCTGCAGGGGAAGTCCTGGTTCACTTCCCCATGGAAACCATCCTGTTAGGGGTAAAGGGTAGGGAGCCTTGTTTAAGTGACTGAGAGCTTGGGGGACTCCCAGCGAGTAGGCACCCCTGCTGCCGAGGTCAGACTGGAGGCCCAGAGGCCCACGAATGGGGTGGAAGGAGCAGCTTTTCAGCAGCAACCCCCTTCTGGCCACTGTCGCTTGCCATTCCCTCCCAGCTCCACTCCTACCCACCCCTGTCCCAGTGCCCTCCACCCAACCCCCCTGCCCCTGGCTGCCTCAAACATAAACAGGCTCCTGTCTTCATTTCCTGCCATTCAGGGTCCCGCCAAGCTAGGAACAGGAATCAAGATCGTTTAGATTGGAATCTGGATAGAACAGGCAGGAGTCACGCACAGCAGGGAGTTCAGCATATTCTCAGGGCTGTCTGGATCCAGAGTGTCTGGAGGAGCTGCCTGGGCCTGGGACACTCCTGTGACAAAATTCTAGGGGGACACATTGTGAATCACAAAGTGATTTTATTTTTTTTTAAGATTTATATATGTATGCATACAAGAACTGGGGTGCAGGCCAGAGGTGCAGGGGGTGAGAGGATTCACGGGAGACAGAGTGGGGAATAGAACAGGCAGATCGACCAAAGTACACTGCTGAGGGGAGCAGCGGGTGAGTCAGAAGAGGTCTGCTCTACCATGTGGGTAGCTCCCTGGCCAGGGATCGAACTCATGCTGCAGAGGCTGCGGATAGCCCCATAGGTTGGGTCTTAACCCCTTGCGCCACCAGGGAGGCCGTACACAAAGTGATTTTAGACAAGACAGGATTAAGACTCAGACGGGAAGAGACTTGTTCAAGGTCAGACAGCATCCAGCGGTAGGACAGGTAGTGCAACCAGGCATCCAGACTAGGGTTCAGAGTCCTCCACTCCGCCTCCTAATCCAGGTGGCAGCCCGGGGCCTGCACCCTCAGGGGTGTAACACCTGGACCAAGCTTGCTGGTCATCAGGGTGTGAAGGGACCTCTCTGCAAACTCACCTCTGCAGGATGCCCTAGCAGAGCCACTCCCTGGTCCCCTCTCTCAACTTGCTGTTCTGGAAAGGGGTAGGGGGAGGGCCAGTAACGTGGGAGGGGAAGTGAAACACACTTAAACACTGAATCTTTGACATTCTGTGGCTGGCGAAGGTTGTGGAGAATGTTAAGAGGGGTGATTCTGATCTATGCTTGTCCCCAACCAGGTCCCAAACTAACTAGCGCTTCAGAAGTCACTTTTTACATTTCTCAAAGGTTTAGAACAAGAAGTTAAGGGCTGAGGTTGCAGCAAGAAGGACTGAGATCAGAAAGCAAGCAGGACTTTCCGAGTGGCAGAGAATACAAAGGCATGTGCCTGGGGGTTGGGTCCCCAGGCAGGGGCAGCTAACATGCAGAAGCAGTGTCTTCTGGGATGACAGGGTGAGGTCGAAGGTCCATAGTCTAAGAATGGTGCCGAGTGAAGATCCATGATGCTGAGCTTCTGAGGGCAGGATGGCTGGAGGTGGGGTGGGGGATTTCGTGGGCCTCTTTGGCTGCTGGTAGCTTTGGCCTTCCTGCCGGGGCTTCCTCTGCCCCAGAGGCCCAGGGCTTGGGAGGAAACAGAGCCCTGGGCTGCTGCAGCTGTGTCCCCAGCCTCTGCCTGACCTCCTGCCTCTTACCCCTCTGGCAAACACTCTGCAGTGGGACTCAGGGCTGGAGATCCCTCTCAAGAGCCCCAGACAAGCTGAATTCGCCCACTGAGGTAGGGCAGGATGCTCTCCTTGACAGCCTTTGCTTGCCTAGAAAGCAGCTATGGAGAGAGTACAGGGTAGGAAGGGAAAAATAGGTAACAATAAGGATGCACCCAGGGCCTCCCTGGTGGCACAAGGGGTTAAGCACTGCACTATGAAGCAATCTGCAGCCTCTGCAGCACGAGTTCAATCCCCAGCCGGACAGGGAGATACCTACATGGCGCAGCAGACCTCTCCTGTCTCGCCCGCTGCTCCCCTCAGCGGTGGATTTCAGTCAATCTGCCTATTCTGCTCCCCAGTCTGTCTCTGGTGAATCCTCTCATCCCCTGACATCTCTGGCCTGTCTTGTATGCATAAATAAATAAATCTTTTTTTTTTTTTTTTTAAAAAAGGACACACCCAGCATCCTTCTAGGATCTTCTACCCATGCTTCCACTTCTCTGGCCATGCCCCAGTCCATCCTCTCACTTCCAGAATTCCCTGAAGTGCTTCGTAGAAATGCACATTCTTTGGCATCACCCCCACTCCAGATTCTGACTCAGTTCATCTGGGACCAGCAAGAAACATGCATTTTTAACAGCTCCCCAGATAATTCTAATCAGTTTGTGTGGGATTTGAGAAAGGAGCCCTATACAACGCTATGTCCCTGTGCTTTCATGTCACAGGGTCTGCTGAGTGGGGGTGGGGTGCAGAAGGCAGGTCCTTTTACTCTTTTAACCTGCTCCCTCTACCTCCCAAGGAGGACCTACTAAATATGGTTAAATTCTGAAGCCAGGGACTTGGGCCCAATGAAGAGGAAGGTGTGAGGGCTTGATCTGGACATCCCCACCCTTCTGGGCCCAGGACCAGTGCAGAATCCACCTCTGTCTAATCCTGGGGCTGCAGGAGAGTAGTCGTGATGGTCCAGTTTTCAAGCAGTCCCAGCATAAGGTTAAGTACAGGAGGGTGTGGCGATCCGGCCTGTCAAAACTCAGAGCTGACCCTGTAAGATTCACCCTGAAATCCAACTCTAGCACAAGGAGACGCCTGGGGACCTGCGGTATCTTTTCACTTGAAGCAAAACTTCATGAAAGATCTCCTGCTGATAGGGCACCACTGTTGTTGGCCAGAAACCACAAATGCTAAACTAATTTCAAACATTAACTTACCACTGTGAAATCCTAACTAACAAGAGCTGACCCTCTCTGAGTATTGTATGCTAAGTACAGAACTGTAAGGGTTGATCTGATTTCATCCTCACAACACTCCAAAGGGGAACCTGAGGTTAAGATTGTTAAGTTTCCGGGCCTCCCTGGTGGTGCAAGGGGTTAGGCACCGCACTATGAAGCAATCCACAGCCTCTGCAGCAAGAGTTTGATCCCCGGCCGACCAGGGAGCTACCCACGTAGCACAGCAGACCTCTCCTGACTCGCCCGCTGCTCCCCTCAGCAGTGTACTTCGGTCCATCTGCCTGTTCTGTTTCCCACTGTCCCTGGTGAATCCCCACACCTCTAGTCTGTACCCCAGCTCTTGTATGCATAAATAAATAAATCTTTAAAAAAATGGGAAAAAAAGAATGTTAAGTTTCTTCCCCATAATCACCCCAGGTGTCTTGATCAACCTAAATTGATGACAATTCATTTTTTATTCTTCCATTTTGTTATGCTAATTGTTTCGTGTTAGGTGAGTCCCTCCAAGGTAGAAGAGTGAGGGGCTCTCACACAGTAACAGATGGCCTGACGTTGGCGCCCTGTGCTTGTTTAGATGCGGAAACAAACTCATTTGCTGGCCATGGGCTTAGTGTGGCTGGGGAGAGCAGAGTGGGGTGTGCTCAGAAGCTTCATTTTTTTCTCCCCAGCACACCTGATTGCTAAAACCCTCCTCCATCAACAGCAGGGGCTCCCCACAGCAGTGGTTGTGATGGGGCTGGAAGAGCCTGGTTCTGATCCAGACAGCGAAGGACCAAGGGCCAGGCTGAGCTGCCTGAGCAGGCTGTCCTGACCACACACCGAGCCCTGAACCTGCACCGCCCCACTGCCCTTCCAGCAGTGCGAGGCAGCCCCAGTCTACATTTCCGGGTCTCAGACACACCACAGAGGCAGCACAGCAGCACCCTGAAGTCAGGATGTGGGCTCTGGGTCATGTAGACCTGGGTTCAATTCTTGCTTCTGCCACTTAGAGCTAGGAGTTTTGGGGCAAGTTATTTAAACTTCCTGAGGCTGAGGCTTCCCTGCGTAAAAGGGAAAATAATAATAATAGTGCTCATTCATAAGTATAACGCAGTGCATGTATTCAGCAGAGCCGGACACGGCGCTAAACATTACCACTAAGCAGCCTTACCAATTTCCACCATCCAGGGACCTGCGGGCAAGTGATTCGAGTCTGAAGCTGCTTCCTCTTCTGCAGGATGGGGGCAGCAAGCCCTCTTCTGCTAGGGGTGGCCAGGGGAAGAACATGAGTAAGGGCCTGGACAGTAAGCACTCAATACATGGGAGTTATTTTTAACTGCTTGATGGAAGGACAAGCCAATAACTGGGACAAGCGGGGCAGCGAGGGCTCACCAAGCACAGCCCCTGACTCTCCAGGAGCCGCCCGCTGAGGGCGCCGGCCTCTCCCCATGCCCAGTCCTTGGCCAAGACCCCAGGGGGTGGGTGGGCGCCGGCTCAGGGGTGGCCCGGGGCGGACTGAAACCTGCGCTCCCAGCCCAGCTGGGGTCGCGCCAGGAAGACCTCTCCGAGGGGTCCCCGGGAGCTGCCCCAGGGAAGGGCCCATGGGGTGGGGGTCTGGTCGCCCCTTCCCAGGCCCGGGCTGCGAACCTGGGACCTCGACTCACCTCCGGACCTGCCTGCGGGTGTGGGCGCGGGTTGCTGCCGCCTGGGCCGCCCGCCCTCCCGGCTGCGGCTCGACGGGGTTGGACGCGGAGCCGGAGTGGGGCGCGCCGGGCCTGGGGCGGGCCGGGCCGGGCCGGGCCGGGGGCGGGAGGGCCTCGCTGCGCGGCCGGCGCGGCGGCCTCCCGGGACTGGAAAGGGGCTGGAGCAAAATGTTTCTTATTCCAGCGTCTTCCTGCCTGGCCCGGCTCCACCACTCCCTCCTAATAAGCCGTTTCCTATTGCCCGGCGCGGACGGGCCATCCGCGAGCCCCTCGCCGGCGCCCCCGCGGGGTCCCACGCCCGAGGCAGCGCCCCCCGCGCCCCGGCCGGGACCGCAGCCCACGCGCCCCCCGCGCCCCCCGCGCCCCGGCCGGGACCGCAGCCCGCGCGCCCCCCGCGCCCCGGCCGCCCACATCCACCTCCCCCGCGGGGCGGGCCTTGGACTCGGGCCGCGGGGGTCCCGCGGGGTCCCGGCCCAGACCGTGGGAGGCAGCGCGGGCGGAGGCCTGTGCGATGAGCGAGGACCCGGGGAGGGCGCGCGGGGCGTCCCTGCTCCAGCCTGGACCCCCAGGCTCAGAGCTGCCTGGGCTGAGTGGGGGGCTGGCAGTATTTTTGGCTCCGCCTCCCCATCCCCACCCCGAGGACTCCCCCACTTGGGCCCAAATCCTCCAGCGCCTTCCCCGTCCCCTCTCCAGAAGCCTCTCTCGCGCAGGCGGTTGGTAAACAGGCCCAGATGGGGCGGATCTGGGTCAGTGGTGAGAACAGCCTGAGCCCCTTTGGAAGCTGCTTCCCCCCAGGGCAGCCAGACCCAAGGGGAGGCTGGGAACTGCCCAGGGACTGTGCCCTTTGAGGGGGACCCTGCATCCATGAAACAGAGCTTTAGAGGGGGGCACGGGCCCTCCAGGGCACTGTGGGAACCAAGCCTTGGGGCGCCGAGCAGAATGGCCTCTTTCCTTGGGAGAAACAAACGTTTGCTCCTGAAGCCCCTGCACAAGCTCAGAGCACTGACATCACTGGCCCCTCAGCTCCCACCACCGCAGGCACCCTGAAGGCGGCACTGGGAGTCTGTCTTGGCCTCCTGGTTATCCACTGACTCTGAAATCTGGGAATCCAGACTGGTTGCTTAACCTTAGGTTGCAATACCTCTCCATGCCTCAGTCCCCCGTCGGCACAATGGGCATAATCAACAGGGGCAGCTTCACAGGGGTGTGAGAATGAAGAGGTGATTCTCAGCTCATAGCAAAAATGCCAGCCAACTGGGTCTGACACACAGGGTAGGCCCTGGGTCAAAGCATTTAGTTAATCAACAGAAAGGAAGAGGGCAGCTGCCAAGCTAAGTAGAGACAGGCACGAGAAGCAGGAGCAGGCCTCTAAGGGATCCCACTGTAACATGGGGGTTCTAGAAGATGGGCCCAGGGCCCCCGCTTTGGGAGGCCTCGAGGCTGGGGAAGACAATGGCCAAAGACTCAGACAGGCATCAATTGTTGACCGACCTCACTTCCTCTGTTGAAACCCTCCCATCCTCCACCCCACAGCTGCTTCACGACTTGTGAATTCCAGAACCCAGGCACACCCAAATTTCAGTGTCAGGACAGTGCTGTGTCCTGCAGCCAATAGGAAGTACTATGGGATTATAGTATCTGCTCTTTCAGATTATAGCGGCCCCTTCAGCGCTCTATTAGCTGGAGAAATGGGAGGTGGCCGGTGTCCATCATCCATACCCACCCTCCCCCTGCCCTGCTGCGACTTCTGATAACCCCTCCAAACGCCAGCCCATGGGTCTCTGTGCCAGGAGGTGGAAGCGGGGCTTCCCCAGGGGCAGCATTTGGCCTGAGACATACTCTGAAAACAGAAACATAAGTTGGACAGGAGTTGAGAGTCACTGATGCCTCAGGATGGAAGGACTGGGGGGGGGGGGGCTTATCTTTGAAGAGTTCACAAAACAGATAAAAGTTTATAAAAAGATATAAAGATATAAAGGGGGACGTGGGTGGAGGAAGACAGGGTCGGAGTGGGTTTGGCTGCTCTTCAATGCTGGAGTCTCTCCCATCTCCCAGGAGCACGGAGCCCTCTGCACCCTGACGGAGCCCTTTGGGGCCTCTTGTGAACCCCCTGCCTTCCACCGCACAGAGACAACCTAGGGAAGGCGTCTGAGAATGCCCTGGAGGCTGAGCCCAGTGAGGAAAGGGACGAGGCATTACAGACTGTGTCCAAGTCAACAAGAATTACTCAGAAGAGCCAGCTGTTTCTCCTCATCCGTGAAGACAGGGCCAGGAGATTTGGGTTTGGATATCCAGGAGAAAGTTCCCATCAGTGTGTGACTCAAGAGACCCGGGGACCCCAGAGGGTGGGCCACCTCCCATTTCCCCAGCTAATAGAGCACCGGCCACCTCCCATTTCCCCAGCTAATAGAGCGCCGAAGGGGCCGCTGTAATCTGAAAGAGCAGATACTATAACCCCATAGTACTTCCTACTGGCTGCAGGACACAGCACTGTCCTGACACTGACAGGGGGTGAAGCGGCCAAGATGCCCTTGCCGGAGGAAGGCAGGTGACGGACGTCAAGCGTGAAGGTGGGGGAGTGGACGATCTGGCCTTTTAGGACCAGCTCCCAGGACTTGTGGAAGCAGCCTTGTCACCGGGGCAGGGCCAGGCCCGTGGTGTTCAGCCGGTGTCCGCACACAGGGCCCCACACTTGGTTTCATGGCCTGCTGTCGCCATCTTGGAATTCTTAATCATGTTTGAACCAAGGGCTCAGCATTTTCATTTTGTTCTGGGCCCCACAAATTACGTAGCTGGTTCTGCATCAGGAGGAATAAGAAAAAGCAAGGGAGGAAAATGAGCAGGGGTGCACTGGGTTTTGCTTCATTTCATTGCGGAGTGGGGAGGGGTGGACCAGACCCACCTAGGACTTTTCAAATGTGAGAGACATGGAAACAGCCCAACAGGATAACTGAGGACCATGGGGAGGAGAGGGGCGGGCACCCCCACATTCCATTGATCCATCTATTCTATGTGGAAGAGTCTCAGCTTTGTGAGCTGGAGAGAGCCTGGGATTTGCCTAGAAGAGGGAGAGAGGCTACCTCCTAGGTCTCTTTCAACTTCGGGTGGGACACTCTGGTGTCCTGGAAGCAGCGGTAAATTGAGGACCGTGCACCATGGCTTAGGCCTGGATCTCTGCTCTGCACCTTGGGTCTCTCCCTGGATCCCAAGAAGCTTGGGCCAGTATTCCTAAAGGTCCTTTCCAGCTTTCCATAATCTTCTTTGGCACTGAAGATTCAGGGAACTAACCGGTCCCAACCCTGTCCCAACACAGCAATTTGGCTGCTGTGAAGTTTTAGGGGCTACAGCAGGCAGAGCCCCACACAGCACCTCAGGAAGAGCCTGGCAGATGAGGTCAGATCACCAGACTCTGAGCCACCGAGCCCCCTTCCCGGTTCCCTCCACCTTCTCCAGGACTTCTCTAGATGGTTCCCGTTCCCTGCCCAGCCCAGAGTCCTCAGGATGACTCATCTCAGGATGGAGCCTCTTGAGGAAGGGAGGGCATGTCAGGGCGAGTCTGAGATTCCCGGTGCCACATGCGGTGTGTGGGGGGAGAAGGCATACGTCTGGACTCCTCTGCTCCCCGGCCTCTACTCCCTCAGTGGGCAGTCTCTCCACCTGCTCTTCCCTCCCCACGTGCCCTGGAGGCTCCAACTCTCCTCCAGCAAACTGCCCAGCTCTGGAGGGAAGAGCCCTAGCTTGGGGTGGGAGAGCCTCCGTGAGTCTCACTTACCACCATAAGAAGGGGCTGATAGTTCCTCTACCACATTCTCGTAAAAACAACACATCAACCAGCAGAAAGACCCGTGAGAGCTGGTTTGTTCCTAGGGAGGCTGAGCTGTCAGGTAGAAAAAGGAGCAGCAGCTGGGGGCTGGGAAGCTGGGGGCTGGGCTGTGGGACAGGGCCTGCATGTTCTCACCTGGCTCAGAAGTGAGCGCCAAGGGCCTCCCTGGTGGCACAGGGGTTAACATCCCAGCCACTGCAGCAGGAGTTCGGTCCCCCAGCCAGGGAGCTGATCCACATGGCACAGCAGACCTCTCCTGTCTCACCCACTGCTCCCCTAAGCAGTGTATTTCAGTAGATCCACCTGTTCTCCCCACTCTGTCTCTGGTGAATCCTCTCACTTCCTGCATCTCTGGCCTGTACCCCAGTTCTTGTATGCATAAATAAATACATCTTTAAAAAAAGTGAGCACTAAATGTTGCCTCTTCTGATAGCTACTGAGGGGTGTTCCACAGACAAATGAATAGCTACTGCAGAGGACTTTGAAGCAGAGGCAGCTGTTGTGAAAAAAATTAAATCCTCAATAAGCACTGGGTAAAGTAATTACCTAAGATAATAAATAAGACTCAGTAGGAGAGTTTATAATGAGAAGCACCAGTACCCACCTCTGGACCCTCATGCTGGGGCCAATCCTCTTCTCGAAGCTTCCCCTATTCATTTCTCTGGAATTTACTTTGATGACTCTAAATAATATGCTTCCTTGGCTCTCACCACCTTTGTTTCTTTGGGTTTCATTGAAGTATAATTGACAAATTCAATTGCAAGCGATATAAAGTGTACATGGCGATGATGTGATGTTCGCATCCATTGTGAAAGGGTCCCCCACCCCCCAGCCAGTTAATTAACACATCCCTTACCTCGCAAGCTTGCCCTTTGTTGTTAAGAACATTTAAGTTCTACTTTCTTTGCAAAATTCAATTCTGTAATCCAGTGTCATCAGCTGTGGTCACCCTGACGCACATTAGATGCTCACACCTTATCCATCCTAGAGCTGAAGGTTTGAATCTTTTTCACCAGCCTCTCCCGATTTCCCCGCCCCCAACAACCACTTCTCTCATTGTCTGTGAGTTGAGACTTTGAGATTCCACATGTAAGCGGTACAATGCAGTTTTTGTCTTTTTGTTATCTCTAGACTTAAAAGCTTCAGGCGTTATTTAAAAGTTTCAGAATTTGCAGCCTCCCTGGTGGCGCAAAGGGATAAGCATAGCACTATG